GGAAACAATGGGCTATAGTTTGATTTCTCTATAAAATAGCTTACTTTCTATGATATATTTATTTACAATATAGAATAAATATTTAAGATATTCCAACATGATCTAATCACACTAATACAGTCAGAGATTTATTTTACATTGTTTGCAACTGATTTTTAGCATATAATACTTTTATCTTTTAATTTTGTGAGTTTTGTTTGTTTGCATTTAGGAAATTTAAAAAGAAACAAAAAGTTTTTAATCACAAATATTAATATTGGCTGACTGTCCTTTTATCTACATATTTTTGCTCCTTAAAATCATCATTGGTGACAGTTTATCAGTTGGTCCCTACCTTACATTCTCACAGCTATAAACAATGTCTGTTGAGAAATCAGGTCCATATTCAATGATTATGCAGAATCTCACATCAGCTGGAATGAAGTTTTGAGCACTGACACATCTGACCGTTCAGTATCAGGGCGTGCATCACAAGGACCAACATCACAGCTGTGAAATGATCATTTAAAAGGTGGACACTGGATAATAGAGAATATTGGTCTTCATACCCAACATCAAGGGGAATGCCGTTTGGGTTTTAAGGGTTACCAAATACAGGAGTATGGTTTGGACATGATGGGACTAAAATGGTGTGGAATTGTGTAAAAGGGGTGGGGAGGTGACCTCATCACCCCAGAGGGGGATAAAAAGGGATGTTTTGAGATGATATTGGCTTTGTGGTTGACCGGGAACAATCTTGCCATTTGATGCTCAGTAAAGCAAAGCCCTTTTCCTTCATTCCACAAGAAACTGAGCTGAAGTCTTTTTCATTCCTTTTCATCCTTTTTCATTTTTGTTGATATTCTTTGATTCTTTCAATTCTTTTTGAAGACGTTAGATTACAGATAGTTATTAGGGCAGATAGTGTAGACAATATTAGAGTTACTTATAAATGTCCAGACCCTGGGCAGAGAGAGACGCTCTTGGCTGTGACACGTGTGTTTCATCTCTCTGGGGTTCTCAATGTTTAGAGCTTAAAAAAGCCTCAAGAGGAGAATAAATGCACTTGGGAGGTCACTGATGCCTTCCACAACGACATTTTCCTCAAGTCAATTACGTCTGGCGGAGAACACTGAGCACCTCCGTCATCTTCAAGGACAGTCAGGATCAACTTTCACATCTTTTGTGTACTCCTCTTCAGGATCAGTCGTCTGTTGGCCACTTTAACAGAAACAAAATCAAGAAACTAAAAAAAAAATGGACAAGGTCTGTTTCACTGCCTCATTTATCAATCATCTTTCATGCTATCATCAGTGAGTGAGATACTGATGGAAACAAAATAACAGTGGTCGGTTCTTTAGCTGCACTTTAATAGCCACAGCTAAGTAATAACTCATGCCCAATATTTCATTTGCCCAAGATATTCTGTAATGGACTCCTGTGATCCAAATCTAACACCTGTGATGCAGCTACATTAGTTTTTAATTAAGCTGAACACTAAAAGTAGAAGACGGGCAAGTATTTTAAAAGGTACGAAGGACTAGATGGACACAAAAAAGCACTAACACCACCTTTTACTACACACATTTATATATGTATATGTGTGTGTGTATATATATATATATATATATATATATATATATATATATATATATATATATATATATATACATATATATATATATATATATATATATATATATATAGATACAGATATGATAAATAGATAAATATGTGTATGTGTATATTTAGCAAGCAGGTCTTCAGGACAGTATTTCAACCTCTCCTAAAAAAAGAAGACCATTAAGCTCTGCAGTCTTTCTCTGCATCACAGTGTTTGAGGTCTGTGAAAAGTAAAAATCAGGAAAGTGAAAACCAAATATTTTACAGTACCTTTTTAACAATATTAACATTTCAGACATGTCAAAGCCCATAAAACAACTTGGTCATATATCAAGCAGAACAGTTGGGTTAAACCACACACCTGTTCATCAAACTCCTCAGGAAGTGCCTGCATATTTTCTCCATAGCCTCCCCTTCTACCCTGTACAGTTTAAGGAGTTTTGGCATTTAAAACTACAATTTTGCTCAAATACTCCATATGAACCCATTCATTTAGGGTTTGCTCAGGAGCGCCCTCAACCACTTGAGGAACCCAGAACACATTACTGAGTGGCAGCTCTCTTCACTGGAAACTCTCTGATCAGAATCTCCAGAAGCAGCTTAAACAGAGCTGCACACATTCGGGTTTATAGCCTGTGTGGAAGAACTCAACCCTTCATCTAAACTGAGTGATGAGGCTCTTCTCACGACTTTCACTTTTCCAACATGGACAGTAGCCTCACCATTTGCCGGATTTGTGAAGAGCAAAGGAGATCTTACGTGCATTCGAAACCCGAGTTCAGGAGATATGAGCTGTGTGCGAAAGAGCTAATGAAAAGTTTCATCTCATGAACGAAGTGGAGAAACTCTCCATTCTCCCTTTTTCGCAGTGGAAAGCATCCTGCAGTGTCACAGTCTGTCTGTTTCAGGAGAGGTAAAACACCATCTCATAGAAATTCTGTCCCTTTTTTAACATCCTTTTTCAAACAACTTTTAAACTGCGAGATTCCAAATATTCCAAAAAAAAAATTTGTGTTTCATCCGAATATTTTGTATTTTTGGGCTGTTTTTTCACGTCGCGTTCGCTGTTTGTCTTTGCAGTGAAAAAAGGTTTTGGATGTAGAAAAAACAGCCGTGTTCATCCAAGAGCTGAGACAACAAACTCAGCGTGAAATTTACCTTGGAGTGCTAGCGAGCTAACGGTTAGTGGTTAGCTAGCTAGGTTAGCCCACTACAGAAACCGTTCCACATTGAATCAAGTTAGCGGTGTTTTATTCAGCACTGACAGACTGAACCAGGTAGAACAGATAATCGGTGTGAACAGCACCAACTCCAATCATACAACAAACGCTGAACAGCAGAGTGAGCTAAACTCGCTAGCGTAACCCAGCATTTCCCCTCTCACTCGTTCAGCTTCAACTTTCAAACAGTTTATGAACCAGTTAGCTACTTACTTGAGTCTTGAGGCAGTGATGTACGACAAAAGGTAGCTGAGCTGCACAAATAGCTAAACATTTTAAACAAATGCCCATTTCCACTGTCCAGAATCAGACAGTTCAAAATACAGCTGCCAGATTTCTCACTAGGAGTAAAAGACACATCACCCCATTCTTAAATCCTTACACTGGTTACCAGTCTGTTACAGAATAGACTTTCAGATACTGTTACTGATCTATAAATGGCTATAACGGTGACTGAATCTCCATAGAAAACCTGTGGGATGGGGTGGGCAGTGTTTAAATCTCAGGAAAATGAAAATGTCATGCATATCATGAAAATATCTTGAAGAATCGTGATATATTATGTTTGCCATATCGCTCACGCCTACTGTGGGATGAGCTGATGAGAAGAGTCCACAAGCGTGAACCTCAGAATCTGAAGGATCTGGAGAATCTGAAGAATCCTGTGTGGAGGATTAATCTCAGATCTCTTGCTGTGTGTTTGAGCCTTGGGGCGATAAACGATATTAATGAATATCACAATAATTTCAACCAGTGACGATATTAAGTAATTTATTTTTTTATTTTTCATCATGTACCCTTGCCATGTGATCTTTTTTTCTTTTTTTATCTTTCTTTGTATTTAACCATTGAATTTGTACAAGCATTGTAATCTATGGGATGTTAAAATTTTAGACCTAAGCTATATAATTTAAGATTAGAATGTAGCATTTCAGTCTGGCAAAGAATTCTGGGTATATGCAAATGAAACACTGCGCTACATGTGACCTCCCTAGACGGTGAAATATGGATGAGCTTGTACAGAAGAAGGGTGTTACCGCGCCAGTTTGGCAATATTTTGGTTTCCAACCAGACGAACATGGAGAACCGTTAGATGTTAACAGTGTTACATGGCGTCTATGCAGAAAACTGATCATCACCAAAGGCGGCAGTGCTACCAATCAGGCACATCTCAGGAGACATCATCCAACTCAGCATGCTAAACTGGGTCTGGCACAAAGAGAAGGCAGTTCATCAAATCAATCACAAGTGCTTTCACAAAATGTACAAAGTACAAACGCAACAGCGCAAAGTGGTGAGATTGCACTACCAGTGTAACCCGTTACAGAGTGAAGGTTCTGCTGTTATTCAACACAGTCGAAAAGTCATCATTCAGAGAAACGTTACAGATCCTGAATCCACAGTACGAGCTGCCAAGCTGTAAGTACTTCAGCAAGACAGCGGTGCCTGAGATGTTCAAGCTGAAGTTGAGTGTTTGATCAACACAGTGGAGTTTTACTCAGTGACAACTGACATGTGGTCAGTACTGCTATGACTCCATAAATGTCACTGACAGTACACTTTATTTCAGCACAGTGGAAGCTTGGAAACAGTGGAAACGATGTTCTTTCCAGAGAGCCACACTGCAACCAATGTAGCTGAAGGTCTTCACTCTGTACTCCAGGACTGGAAAATGAGTGAAGAAACATTAACCTGCATTAAAACAGACAACGCTGCAATATAAAGTCAGCTGTAAGAGATGAACATGGATGGCAACAGTTTGATTGCTTTGGGCATAACCTACATCTGGGTGTGACGACTGCAGTTAAGAGGCGAGGACAGTGCAGCTCTGGGTCTGTGCTGATCGATCGTTGGTACTTTTTCCCCACAGCTGGCAGAAGAACTTTGTGCACTTTAATAAATAACTATTTATTAAATAACTATTTATTAAATAAAATGTATATTTATATAAAAAGAGATAAACAAGTAAACAGCTAAACAATTATTTACTTATTTATATAATTTATAATTTATATTTTTATTTACCATTTTGTGCTAAAGCAGCATTGTGCCACGCGCTGGGGCTCTAAGAGAATGATTGAGAGAATAATTGAGCAGGCCCAAGCAATTGGACGGGTTCTAGCCACTGACTGACGTGCACAGCCACCGACCTGGCAGGACCTTGATGTGCTGGAAGCGATGAACAAGGCTCTTAAGCCAGTTGCAGACTTCACTGATGTTCTGTCAGGAGAGGATTGTGTCACCATATCGTCGCTTTTGCCAAAACTTCTGCTTCTGAAAAGCGACGTATTGAGTGAATCAGAAACAGACGCTAATGAAGGACGTGAGACGCAGGATTTTGACAGAACTGGAGTTGAACTATGACTGAGAGTCAACCAGAAGATCGATGTGCACTGCAACACTGCTGGACCCCTGATTTCATGGCGAACGCTTAGCAGAACATGATTTGTGGCAGAGCATGTTTTCAGCACAGCTGGAAATGTCAGCCCCTCACGCTCTCATCTTAAACCTGACGAGGTTAACAGGCTTGTCTTTCTTGCAGAGAATGCGTGAGTGCGCTGACACACAGTAGTGAAAAAAATTTATTTTGCTGCTGAATGTACAATTTTTGCACAATACGCTGTTAATTTTCATCATATTCTGTGATGATAGTCAGCGGTTAAAACAATCCAATAGAATGTTTTTTGTCATAATTTTATTTATTTTATTTAGTTTGTTAATTTCTTAAGGATGCTGTATGTTTTTTCCAGGCTCATAATTTGAAGTTCATCATTTACTGGTGTAAATCAAAATAAAGTCTTTCTGTCTGATGCTGACTGAATTAAACTGCTGTAGTCATGAAAAAAGAAATGACAGTATTTGTGCATGAAACAATCTAGGTTGTTGAAGACTATAATAATAATAATAATAATAATAATAATAATTATTATTATTATTATTATTATTATTATTTTTATTATTATTTGTTCTATAACATAACTTTGTTTTTTCCAGAATTAAGATTCACTGCTATGATTCTCCTTTGCTGTTCCACTGAGACGCAGCAGTTCACTTGCATAGGCTGCAGTAAAATGATCATGTGACTGAAACAGATGAAAGACTCGCTGGGTTTTCTTCGTAAATTATTTTTTACATGATAATATCGTTTATCGTGATAATTCTGGAGATGAAGATCATTTGTCTAAATTTACATTATCGCCCAAGCCTAATGTGTTCTCCAGTCTCATTATCCATTATAGGAGAGACTCAGATCTGTTATCTTTGCAAAGGGAGGCAGCACAAAGTATTAAATGAAGGGGTGCCAACAGTTGTGACTCTGGTTTAGGTGTTGCCTTCAGTCATTGTTCTTCAAATAAATGTCAGACTTTTGGTAATATTTTGCATGAACTATGAAAAGGATCAGCAGTGAAGAATGTTTTTACAGCTTGCTTTGCTCCTGTTTACCAGGGGTGCCAATATTTGTGGAGGGCAGTGTAACAGTAGAAAAGTGGATGTACTTTATTACATGAACACTGGTATAAACTCACACTGCAGCTGTTACAGGTTCCTTTTAAGCCCATATTACACTGTGTTTTAGTTTATAGTACTGACTCCGCCCACAACATAAACACTACAGAACACAGCTGGAGCGTTCTGCTCTCTTCAAACTGACACGTTTGGTTTATTTCATATTTTATTGTTTCCAGTGGTCGTAATTTTAACACTATAAAGTTTGGTCAGTAGGGGGAGCTGTGCACTCACTGCTCAGCCTCAAACTGCTTACAAGCACAGCCATTGACTCACAGCTGCTGAATGCTGATGTTTTATAGGCTTCCTGCTGAAACATCTGCATGAGTTACGGCGTGCTTCATGTAAATTATATGTTTATGAAGGTAAATTGAGGCGTGGCTGCTAATTATATGTAAATAAGGTACTCATGCATGGGTGCTTCTTTCCACCTCTGAAGATTCTTCAGTTGCACCCAAATCACCGCTTGTTTCATTCAGGGTGGTCAGATCTGCACTGTTTTCTACACAAGTATAATGAAATAGGACACAATGTGAATGATGTCCAGCACTGTTCTTTACACTGCAGTCCAGCTCCTGTTTGTGGAGAATTATAAATAATAGCTTTGGAGTCCAAATTACTCTCAGAACAATATTACACTACTTTATTATAGTAGCCCTTTGGATAATTAGGTTACTGTTTATGTTATTAACAGGTGGTCAGTATCTGTACTGGACTACAGTTTAAAGTGACCCTTTCAGCCCTGTTAGTCACACTAGTTGATACAGTCTGTTCACTGAACCAGGTTTATGGAGTAAGACTCTGAAATTAATAATTTGGGGGAAACAATTTGATCTTTTTTTCCCTTTTAAAATCAGCATGCAGTTTCTTCTTTAATACATTTCACACACACAGTGTGAGAATATGAACAGTAACTAACTCTACAAACAGCTGCTACCTTGAAAACAGATCACACACCTGCTGATTTTCTCTTCATGTGTGCTCGTGTTCATTCTTAATCTTCTCTGTTTGCAGAAAGGACAGTAAAGGAAGAGCTGATGAGAGGTAAACTGGAGTTTTTATTTTCTTACTGTTTACATTTGTTTAACCAGAGAGTCTGAAGTTAATCTGATACTATATGATCCACTGAATCAGTGTGGAGCTGAAGGAGATCCACACATGTAAACAGTGAAACAGCAGAGGATCTGTTCACAGTCAGAACTGTTACAGAGCTCCATCCTGAAATGGGTGTTTGGAGATGAGGGTGAGAGTCACACTGAACATGAACAGAGCAGCAGCTCCAGAAGGGCACTGTCTGCTTCAACAAACTGCCTGTGAATGATGTCCAGCACCAGTCCTTACATTCCATATCTCTAATCATTTCAGCCAGACTGATAGCTTATCATTACTTTATAATCAGAGTCACTTTATTTCACCAAGTGTGTTACTTGTACAGGGAGTTTGTCTTGGTGAGTCACAGATGTGTGACATGTGACATACTGAACAGAGCAGACACACAGACTGATAACAAGTATTAAACTAAGAGACAAATAAAATAAAAATACAATAAATAGAAAAAAGAAGAATAAATAACTATTATGTATGGAATATTACAGAATGATATTAATATTTGTACAGTTACGGAGGAGTTACTGTAGTACAGTGAGGAGGTTTGATGGTCAGTGTAAAGTATGAGTGTCCACTGTGGTTTATGAGCTGCAGCTCTGGGGGAAAAACTGTTAGCATGTCTGGTTGTGCTGGTTTTGATGGTCCTGAATCTTCTACCAGAGGGGCGTGTCTGAAAGAGGTGATGTTCAGGATGAGAGGGGTCAGCTGTAGTTTTGCCAGTGTGCTTAGTCATCCTGCTGTGGATGTCCTGAAGCGTTGGCAGATACATCCAGTAACCCCCTCCACTGTCCTGATTATGCTCTGGAGTTCTGTGGTAGTGGTGAATGATGTGAGGACGGACTTGATGATCGCTGTGTAGAACTGGATCATCAGACACTGCGGGAGGTTGAATTTCTTCAGCTTTATCAGGAACAACATTCTCTGCTGGTTTTCCTGTGGGGGGGGGGTGGATAGGGAGGGGTCGGGGGTGTAAAAACACATGCTGACCTCAAAAATCAGGATGCCATCTTGTGACATATTCAGCTCTAGTAACTCTAGAGCACTAAAGATAAAAATAAGTTTCCACAATGCTGTTGTTTTTTCTTCTCAGATTTTTTTTGTTCATTGTAAGTTCAATGTTCATGTTAAAGTCCTTTAAGTTGTAGGTTAATTACAATCAAAATATTACATATTTCAGTGATGCCCCCCCAACACACACACATACACACTCTCTCTGTCTCTCTCTCTGTCTCTCTCTGCCTCTCTCTCTCACTCACTCACTCAATTGGTAACCCTGTTGCCAAAGCAGTTAACAAGAAGCACAACATAAATAAGAGAAAGATAATAATCTAGATTACAATAAAGCACTAGAAATGAAATTATTCACAGGATTAATAATTAATAAAGGAAAAGGAAAATAAGAGTCAACACAATTTCAGATCATGTAATAAATCATAATAATTAATAATCAATAATAGTTTGTTGATGTGGGCTGTGCTACTTAATGAAAAATTACGTTATTGAAAGTTCACAAGAGATTTGCTGAAAGATTTACTGACTACAATATAAAGGTTCTCTGGGCTTTTCTGTGTGATTTCACTCACTTTTTACGTTAACTGTTATTATTTTCCAGGTCAAATTATTTTTCAGTCATCAGAAAAATAAGCCATTTGTGAAAGAATTATAGAATGCTTCTAATCTAATCTAATCTAGTTTTAATCTTCACAAATCATTTATTAACATTAAAATTTTATGTATTTTAGTTTATTTTTAATGAGACAAAGTCAGTGTTGATTGATCTGTTATAAATAATATGCACACTTTTGAATTATTTTCAGGAAAAATTCTAAAATTTAACAGCTTTGGACTCTCAGCCATTTGCATTTTATATATGTATACATATATATTACTTCTTTAAATCTGTTTTTATCTTGATCTTCCCATCAGTGATACATGCTTTGCTGAAGCCTGAAGAGAAGCAGTGTGATGCCTCATCAGTGGAGAAGGGTCTGCTGAAGCCTGAAGAGAAGCAGTGTGATGCCTCATCAATGGAGATGGGTTTGCTGAAGCCTGAAGAGATGCAGCCTGATGCCTCTTCAGTGGCAAAGGGTTTGCTGAACGATCTAAGAAAAGTCTCACTAAAGGAATTAAGGAAAAAGCTGCAGGAAATGGTGGAATCTCGCTCTAAAGTTGTGTGAGTATTTTCATTCTATACTACAGTTTTATGCGAAAGTGTGAGCACCCCTGGTCACATTACATGTTTTGTTCATTTTCTAAGTGTAAACAAGTTAATACAGTATCTCAGTGGGACTAACCTAAATATGGCAGAGTTTTATTGCATATTAGTGATTTATTTACTGAATCTAAAATATTGAAAGAAGTAAAATAAAATGCGGCATGTGCAAATGTTTGGGCACCCTATTAGGACCACTACTTTTTTGACTCATTAGGTCTTAATCCAAGTCAGGTGTAGACGATTCTGAAGCATAATGAATTATATGAGCCTTCAGTCCTCTTGTGTTTATATTTAACCTCCACAAGCTCACCTAAACAGAAGACTGAGGATCTGAAACTGAAGATAACTGACTCTCATCTTATTACACTATAAAACGAAACTACAGGACTCTTAGATGAATATAACAGATATCTGAACTCTTCCTGTTTTTACTGTCTAATATTTTTAAAATTATTTTTACATTTGAACCTTTTCAGTCTTTTATGTAGACCCAGATTTCTGAGTCATGGTTTTCAGTGTATATACACAGCCTTAGTACAGACATTTCCCACAACTACAAGCATATGGCTCATTACCATAAACTCTATTCTCTAAACCTTTAACAGAGTAAACTTACTGTTCAATGAAAAACTCTACACACACCTGAAAATTAAATCAGTCAGAATCTCGCACACAGAGCAGAGATGCACACACACACTGACTGAATAAGACACTGTACTGTAAAACATCCAAATACAAACCCCACATACAGCAAACACTAAACAAACACTTTACATTTTCAAATTATGATCAAAGTTTGATCACCCATCAATTTTATTTACCCATAAAAAACCCAAAGAAGTGTAGAGGCTGAGAGGAGAGTGCTTCTGGCCTGCTGTACCTGCAGGCCTTCAGGGGAGGAGCGTGGACTTTAAAACAGGCTCTCCAAGCTAAGAGAGAGAGTTGGGCCAAAGTAGACCACATTAAATCAGTGAACTTTTGTGAGTGATTATGTGTAAATAAAGGGCACTTTTAAGTGTCTAAAAATAGTGTCTTGCGCATGAGCTGAACTCTGTGTATATTTGGTTTTCTATACTGCCTCCACAGGCTGACATCACAGAGCTGTTTCCTAATCAGAGCTGATTTACTAACAGTGAAGAAAAAATGACTACCATTCAGAAATTACTTCACTTTCAGATTAAATCAGATTAAATGTTATTTAATGTTTAATAATAACATAAAATGTGGAGATGTATATTTGTAATATAAATACCATAAACTACAAACAAGACATTCTACTTACTATTGCAGGTATTTTTGGAAACAATAAAGATGTTATAATGATGAACAGTTTGGTGTAATTATCTATTTAGAATCATATTCTCACAGGTTATTTGCCTTGAGATTTGTCTCTTGGAGCCACCTATTATCTTGTACTGGGAATGTCTGTGTATGGGTATGAATATGATAAATTTTGGGCTAAATGGCAGTGGGAACAAACTGATAGTGAAATTTTTAAACCAATCTAACACCTTGTGAAAATTTTTAAAAGTTTTAAAATGGTGGCATGACACAAGTGAGTGGAGCTTTAGAGTGTTCTGACTCTTTAGGGCAAGATCCAACATAGGGCTCCCATCCTCACAATGTTCAACAGGGGGACTGTGGAGAGCATTCTGAGCAGCTGCATCACTGCCTGGTTTGGGAATTGCACCAGCTCTGACCCCAAGACCCTACAGCGCATAGTGAGGACAGCTGAGAAGATCATCGGGGTCTCTCTCCCCTCCATCATGGACATCTACACCACACGTTGTATCCAGAAAGCCACCAGCATTGTAAACGACCCCATCCATCCCTCACATGGACTTTTTTCACTGCTGCCGTCTGGCAGAAGGTACCGGAGCATCCGTGCCATCACTGCCAGACTCTGCAACAGCTTTGTCCCTCAAGCGATCAGGTTTTTAAATTCACAAGGGCTGAACTAAACCCCCCCCTTACACCCCTCTTTTGATGCACTACTTGCACTATCTGGAACATTGCTGCTAATGCTGTGTTTACACTGTTTTACTACCTCAGTAACTGCTGTGCTCACGTATGTTATCTGACTGTGTAAACTCGCAGATCACAGAATGGTTAATACCTCTGCACCTTATTCCACTACCTCATGCTCAGAAATGAGTGCTGTGTCGGTGCTGCACTGTCCTGTCTGTTTACTGTGTCTAATGTCTGTTTAATTTATTGTATTTATTGTATTGTTTCTAGCTTAATTTTTTGTTTGCACACTTAGGTCTGCACGTTCGCACTTTGTACTTTTTGTTCCTTGTTGCACCGTGTTGTTCCTGGAGGAACGTAATTTCACTCCACTGTGTACTTGTACATAGATGGAATGACAATAAAAGCCTCTTGACTTGACTTGACTTTTATAACCTTCTTAAAAGTAGGGAATCCTCACCGGCCAGTTAAGAACACAAGACCGAGTCTGCATAAAGAAACAACACCAGTTGAACATTTACTGAGGTTTCTGCAATGTTGGATAAGCATGACAGTTTCTAGATTGGTGTATAATTATCAAGGTCTGAAGCCTCATCTGTCTTACGTTAAACAATGATATGAGCTGTTTTCCAGATACTTTCCATGAATTCTGCATAATAAAACAAAAATAAAATGTACATAATACAATATTTACTAAAATCAGGGTAGCAGGACACAGACAAAGGGGGTCCAGCCCCAGGGGCTTCTCTCCTGTAGTTTTTCATGAGTTAATTACTGTGAGACCTTTAGCTGTTATGTAGAGAGAAGGGATGGAGTGTGAAGAGATGTTAGAGATGTTAGAGATTTATCAGTCTACAGCTCTGATCATCATTCTGGACACGTCTGTCACTGGTTTCATTCTTTTTTCAGATTCTCAGTTTCCTACTAATCATCTGAAACCTGTGAAGGTGCACAGGAGCAGCATATTAGAATCACTTTATACATGCATCTGCAAAGTGGGTTAATTAGACATTTGGCCTCATTCATGAAACCTGGGCAGAATGAATTTTGCATAAAATGTTTGTAAAACATTTTTCACATAAGTTTCCACAGTCATTAAAGTTTTTGTAGTCTAACAAAAGTACAGAGAAAATGTACTCCTGCTCCTGACCACCCAGAAAGCATTTGTGAATACCAAAATCATCGAAAAGTCTTGAAGAGAAAGTAACATGACTGAATTTTAATACAAATATCATCCAGGCAGTGTTTCAGATGGATGGGTGGATGGCAATTGCAGTGTTACAGTAGCAAGACATATAAATACACATAAACTGACATTGTAGGGAGAAATAAAAATAGAAATAAAAATACACATAAATTATGCAGAAATAAAAATTAGACATAAGTTAGAGTAAAGTATGAGAAAGTAGGAATAAAAGTCCATCTTTTTGCATATTTACACAGCATATAGCATATACGACAGATTTGGTGCATTTACATGAGAGCAGGTATTGCACTAAGTGGTATGACACACCATGCAGTATAACCATGTTTATCACGCATTATAAATTGTAAATGTAGTGCAGTATAAATAGTGTTTGTCAGTGCCAAAGAAACTTAGTCTATTCATAAACACACACTGAGCCATGCCGTGATTTCTTTTAAAATCAAAAATGGTTTTGGAGGGAGCGTGTAGTTCGGTAAATGGTTTCAAGTGATACGCAACATTATATTGACTGAGGAACATTTCTCTGTTTAGTATTTTTCAGAAAAAAAGACACCAAAGCTCAGCATTTAGTTTTCTATCGGCTGACACTTCCAGGGTTGGCAAATTTGCAGGGTTAAAGTTCACCTCTGTGCGAAGTGAAATGTAACGCTACCGGAACCAAATAAATTTTTCATATTTTCAAGTTGTTTTCCCTTTCAAATGACATGGCTTTTTAGCCAGCCACTCAAAATTATTTTCTCTGTGTTTTATAAGGTATGTATAGCTTTGTAGTACCACTCTAGCAGTACTCTTGCACCCGCAGAACCACGTTGCAACCTCCACGTGAAGAACCCCTGATAGACAGTATGGTCTGTATTAGATGCAGCTTGCGTTAATTAAACAAACAGCGCCTGAGTTCACTCATGTAGATATTTCACACTTCACTAAAAATACTGAATTGCACTATGAGTTATGAGCAGTAAACACTCATTTTTAACCATTTAATTGCCACATTATGATGAAGCCGTGCTTTCTGTGTAGTCTTTAAGCAACTGCCACTAGTAAGTAGCCTTTTTAGTGAAAAGTACATCATTGTGTTCCAAACATTCACCCTATCTGGTTTTCCAAACATTCACACTATCCATGCTATTTAATTATTGTCATTTTTCGCATTTCAAGATATTTTAACTGTTTTTCTTTTTAGCAGATATTTTTTAGCTTTTTATCAATTTAAAGTTTATTTTTAAAAATTCAACATTTCCAAATGTTTATACTGTCTAGAAGTTCCTAAAACATTATACACTAGGCCTGGGCTATATCAACAAATAATTTGCATGATATTTTCTAGTTAAACTGTGATTGTCAGTAATATAGACCACCAGCGATAACATCCAGTCATTTTTCCTTTGTTTTTTACTGCAGTGAGTCACTTTGAGGCAAGCTGAAGTTCCAAAGCATGTGAATATTTATTTTCGATTCCATTCATGTAACATCTTTCTCTCTGTCTCTTTCTCTCTCTCTCTCTCTCTCTCTCTCTCTCCCTCTCTTTGTCTCTCTCTCTATCTGCCACATAGCTGGTCAGTCTGTCTACAGAGTCTTGATCTTCAGAAGGAATGGAAATGTATAACTGGGTGTCGTCAGTATAGCTATGAAAATTTATACTATGCTTCCTAATGACATCACCTAGAGGTAGCATGTACAAAGAGAAAAATAAAGGCCCTAAGACTGAACCTTGGGGGACTCCACAAGTAATGTCAAATCTTTTTGATGAATGATTTCCAAGTGAAACCATGAACTGCCTATT